GCAACTAAAGATTGTCTTTTAAATTTATTTTGCAAATGAGAAACCTTATTAAACAAAGGTGGTTTACTTAAAGAATTTGGCAAGTTTGAATATTTTTTTAAATCATAACAAAACTTAGCCAAATGGCCAAATCTACCACAAACATCATATTTAAAAATATGTGGTCTACTAGAAACATTTGGCAAATTAGATTTCTTTTTCAAATCAAAACAATATTTGGCCAAATGACCAAAACGACCACAAAGATCACATGAATACACATGAGCATGCATATGATGAACTTTATGAGAGTGTGCATATGTGAGTGTGATGATGAAGCTTGATGGGATGCACAAACATGATTAATCTTGATGGGTTTTTGTGCATTATAACAAAATCTAGCAAGGTGGCCTTTACGACCGCAATTAGTGCATTTATAGACTTTGTTATACATGTGTGCATAGTGTGTAGGTTTCTTAGAAGAGTTTGCATTAGACTTTGCACACAAGTCCATAAGCTTGTTATGATTATCAATGCATGTGTTTAAGGTTGAATCTAAACAAGATATGCGGTTTTTCACATGATTCAACTCATCATTAGATACAACACATATATTGTTATTTATAAAAGAAGCGGTATCATTTTGTATGTTCTCTACTTCTAACATGGCATTATTTTTAACATGAGATAAGCTAGTGATGGATGAGGTTAATTTTTTATTTTTCAAATTTAACATATCATTGTTTTCTTTAAGCATTATATTTTCATTTTCAATGATGTCAAATTTGGACACTAGCTTCTCATGATCGGATTTCAATTCTACATGCTTGCTTTTAAGATCAATAAAATTATTTTGTAATTTTGTATAGGCATGCAATAATTTCTCATATGCACAAGCGAGTTCATTGATGGATATATCACTTTCGGATTCCGAATCGCTTACCACACTAGGGCTATCGCCTAGTGGCCGTGTGCATGATGATGCTCCACACTCACTTGAAGAACAATCCTCCAAACTACGTCGGATTTCCTCCAAGTTGCCTTGATGTGCTTCTATGAATTTCCATAAATTGTAAGCACTATCAAAATGAACAAATTTGTTAGAAAAGGATGAGTCAAAGGCATTAAGCAAATATTCTAACAAAAGCTTGTTCATATTAAACATTTTATTATCATGATTGCTCCACTTAGATTTCTCCAATGTGGGCACAATATAAGCACAATCAATAATTTTCCATAAGTCAATATTTCTAGATTCAACAAATAGTTTAAATCTAGAAGCCCATTGTGCATAGGGAAAATTAATGAATTTAGGAGCAACATTGGATTCATAGCCTAAACAAAATACATTCATATTTAAGATATATATATGAACATATGCAAGCAAGACAAATGCAATCATAACTAGATTAACACAAATAAGATAACTTGGATCTTTAACTCAAGGTGGTTAGACCTTAAATCAAAGAGCACCAAGCTCTGATACCAATTGTTAGACCCTAGAGGGGGGGTGATTAGGGTCTTATGCTAATCTAATCCGATTAAATGCCAATTAAAACTAATTAACAAATATATTCTTGCAAGATAGATATACAAAGAGTTATGTGCAAGAATATGCAATATACAAAAGGTGATATATCCTATATGATAGAAATATATGTAAGGATATATAAACAATAAGATATATCCTAACAAAGAGATATAGACAATGTATGAGCAAGGATATATGAACTAACACAAGGGTAAAATAAACAATCTACACAAGTGATAGGGTAATATGATGAGCAATACACAAAGGCGATATAAGATATGAAAACAAGAATAAGAACGCCAATGCAATCACAAACAAAACGATATGTTTACGAGGTTCGGTCCCCACGACCTACGTCCCCGCTCCTCACCTCGAGGAGATCTCCACTATCACAACCGGGTTTTCTACGTTCACCCGAACAACGTTTACACCTCACAATACAATCACTATGCAATCACACCTCACACACTAAGTGTTGGTCCTAGCCCGTGTCCTCCTCCTCAAGTGCTCGGTTACAACCTCTCCCTAGGCACGTCAACCGTTACACCTCACAATACAATCACTATGCAATCATACCTCACACACTAAGTGTTGGTCCTAGCCCGTGTCCTTCTCCTCAAGTGCTCGGTTACAACATCTCCCTAGGCACGTCAACCGATGCCACTCCTCTTGGATTCGACCCCGTCTCTCACCATACACTTCTCTCGGTGTACAAGTGTATTACAAGTGAATCCTCATAATTAGGCACAATATAAATCAATTGATTGTTCTCTAAACAAGATGAGAACTCAATTAAGCTCACTCTCAATGTCACAAACCCACAAACCTAAATTATACTATGAATGTAAATACAATAAGCTCAATAGGTTGTGTGTGAACAAAGAGATAAAACAATATAAACTCAATATGAAATTTAGCTTATGAAATTAAGAACAAACTTATAAAAGGCTAGAATTGAGTTTAAGGAAACTTCTCTATAGATGACAAGAGAGAAGGAGAAGAATGAATGCTCAAACACCAAGGATGATCTACACTTGCTCTTGTGAAATTTGCTCCACAAACCAAACTCTTGTAAATGCTTAAAAGGTTTTTAAACAAACACTAAAAGCAAACTTAAAACCTTGATTAAAACTTTCTTAAACTTGTTTTAAAAACTCTCTTAGATAGCTTGAAAGTTGAAGGCAATGGGGTATTTATACCCTCTCACAACTCAGCCAAAAACGTGAGCAAAAGACAAAAAACAACGGTCAAAAAACTAGCCGTTGGAAGCAGAAAAAGACCTCGTCGGTCGACCGGAATTTTCATCGGTCGACCGGAAAATTTCATCGGTCGACCGGACCGGTCGACCGACAGTCTCTCTGTCGCCCAGTGAGCATTTGAACTCAGGTTCGGTTTTGTAAAATCAATTATAAATAGTAAAACAGCTCCAAAAATTATGAAATTTTGTAAGAAGGTTCTAGACATATATAATGACATGTTAGAGAAAGAATTTATGAAAAATAATTTCCCAATTGAGAGAAATAAATATTTGAACACAGATTTACAGTTTCTGAAAAACTGCTGACATACACAATTTTGTAAAATCAATTGGGCATAGTAAATCAACTCCAAAAATAGTAAAAACTGGAGGAAAGTTTCTAAACATGTAGATAAACATCTCAGAGAAAGAATTTTTCAAATATCACTTCCGATTTGTGAAAACTCATCAGTTTTGTAAAACATGCACGAACATGTGCACGAACGAAAACGTGAATTTGTAAATTCCTTTAAACATAACAAATCAATTCCAAACTTGATGAAACTTTGAGAAATGTTTGCAAATGATATTTTGAACATGTTACAAAAAGAATTTTCCAATTTGCATTTCCCAATTGTGAAATCTCATTATTTTGCAAAAGTGTTCAAAACATGAAAAAAGTGATATACATGAAGTTTGATGTTTTGACATAAACAATGTTTTGAAACTTTGCACAATGATTATATAGACTTGATAAAATATGTATATGATGATTGTTAAGTCTATAAACTGAGAATACAATATTTGAGCTTAGAAACCAAATACGTGTGTGTATATGATATTGAGCTTAGAGTATCTAACACACATAATATAAAACCTAAACTAGATTACCCAAGCCGATCTTGATCTTCAATAAGCTTGACTTGGTACACTTTGCGGATAAAGCTTGAACTTGATCTTTAACTTGAATTGTATATTGCTTCACTCCACAATTCCGCCAACCTCTATTTGATATGATCGTTGAAGCTCTATTCCATCCATCATCCAACAACGTTGTTTGTCTACAATATATAGAAAAACACAAATACTAGACAAACAACATTAGTGGTAAAGTTTGTCTACAATATATAGAAAAACACAAATACTAGACAAACAACATTAGTGGTAAATTGTTTGTTAAACATCATCAAAACAAAATACTAGACAAACAACATTAGTGGTAAATTGTTTGTTAAACATCATCAAAAC